CCTGAGTGTATGTGGCCTTATATTCCAAATGCTTTTTTTGTGTTTTAAATTTATTTTACACTCCCCCAAACACTGTAGGTCAGGTAGGTGAAACACCTGATTAAAGGCCATTGAAAATCCATGAGTTCAGGTTAAAAAATTAGACTCTTAGAGTCTCATACAGGGTCTTCATGAAGTCCTTGTGCACAACCTAAGTTATTAAAGTTTAAAAGTGCGCCAGGTCTTTCTGAAGATCCTGTATTATTTAATGGCATTAATATTTTATAAGGTAGTAAGCCCCCATGTGTAGCTATGACAAAACAAATTGCAACATCCCACTGTTAAATGCACCAGATTTTATGTCTGCAGCATTACAAACTGCATACAAGAAAAAAATAGTTTTTTCTCTATAGGCAATTTTTACCTTTTCCAGACCTTGCTTAATCATGCAGAGTTTATGCTGATCTCAGTCTACAAAAATATTTGTCTGCTTAGTTATTACATTTCATGCAAGAAACCTACTTCATCTTCTGTAAGAGATGGGTCTTCCTCTCGAGATTTGTAAGACAGTGAACTAAGCCTCTGTAAGAGGGGAAATAAAATCTAATTAGCAGGCAGCAGTGTGAAAGTTGTAATACAGCTTTCCCCTTAGAATCAATATATATTATATGGTCATTTGCTCACTTGTTCCATCGAGTAATATCCAAACTACAGCTTTTGAAATCCACAGCCCTGAGGTTAGTGTAGCTTTTTAATGCACCAGCCCTTAGTCTGAACCTAAACAAAGGGTAAAAATAATTTAATGGGTAGATTAACTCTGGTTCATTGCATTCCTCCACTTGGATTCCTAATGAAGTGAGAATGGATCTGTAAAAGGTTTAGGCTGTCGAATAATTAAAATCGAACTGCTCTGTATAGTTGATCCCATCACACTATTTCTATATTATAGAAGAAATGCAGGGGAAAAAACCTTTACAAAGATAATGTCCTTCACAAAGCTTACTAAGATGCATGACTACTTATTAGTACTGGACCCCTTTGGATGAAAGAGCCCTGGACCCCTTTGGACGTTTAGCAGTTTTGTCCTCCCCCATGAAATAGTCAGCTGTTTTAGCAGCGCACAGAATATTACATCACAATTTAGGGCAACAAATGAAGAAAATTATTGCTTTCAATCAAACTAAAGGGAGAAAAGTTTAGGTAGAGATGACCCTCAGCCCAGATGTTCTGACTTGGAACCAGACATTGAGTTTGGATATGGGGAGGTGGAACACAGACTGAAGGGATTAGTTTGGAACCTCTCTCTAATTTTAGGTAGGCTGATTAGAAAGGAGACAGGGCACTGGAGTGAACTTTTCAGCCTTTGTGTAAAGTGCCTAGGTCTTCACAGACTATGAGGATCTCTGTTACATCACAACCAAGGCGTTGCTCAGCAAAACAAGAGCACTATACTGTTTAATGAAATGACTGAACTTTTTTTTTTTTTTTGCTGTGTCCAGACTTGTACATTTTACAGGAAAAAAAATCCTACTGGGTGCATCTACATGTTCAATTAATGTTATGCAATAAACTCCGGAGTTGTTTGAGCTGGGGTCAACTGTTCCAGGGCGCAGTGTCTACATGTGTGCCCAGCACCGCAGCACTTTGAGGCAGAGTAGAGCAGCCCCAGACTGGCAGCAGGCTCAGGGGGTCAGCCCCAGGCTCCAAGTGGTGGCATTGGGCAGTGGAGGGGCTGGCTAGGGCACGAGGGTGCAGAACCTGTGAAGCTGTGTGGCTAGGCAGCAAGCAGCCTCGGCACTTTAGCACCCTCATGCCCTAGCCAGCCCCTGTCACTGTCTACATGTTTCACTGCACTTACTTACACCACTGTAAGACAGTACTGTCCCTGATTGTACTATCTTATGGAAGAGTTAATTAATTTACTATGCCTTAATACTGGTGCATGTGTAGGTGGTAACACTTTCCTGTGGACCTGATTAGTTAACACCACGGTAAAGTGCACATGCAGATACACCCACAGGCTGTGTCTAGATGAGCATGGATGTGTGTGGTATGTGGCACTGCAGACCCATCTGTGGAGCCACACACTGCACATGCAGGCATGCCTCGCACTGCTACCTTGCAGTGTAGGAGATCCTGGGGTCACACTGAAAAAAGGTGGGGCAGCACATGTGGCAGCAGCGCACATTGTCCAAAACTGGAACCTAGCTGGCACAAGCCATGCTCTGGCTGTGGGCCAGGCTCCCAGATGTAGGAGCAATCTGAGGTTACCAGGACCCCAGGTAAGGCTGCTGGCGGCAGCACAGTTGCTGGCCCCAGCCTCCCCTACCCCACCCGGGGTAACCTGCCACATGCTAAAGGGTGCATGGCATATGCATTCCCTGGGGATGACTAGCAGCGGCACAAGGTGTCCCTGCTACTTTTCTCTGGGGAAACAAATGTCTGCACTCATGTGGCCCTGTCCACAGGATGTATCCTTACGAGCAGGAACGTGTGTTTCCCCAGGGACAAACACAGCACATATTTGTGCTGCTGTTACTTGTCCCTGGGCATGCCCCTACATGTGCACAACATATTGCCTCAGGTTGGGTAGGGGAGGCTGGGACCAGCACCTGGGCTGGCCCCAGCTGCCTTACCTGGGATTCTGGGGTCCTCCTGGGGCTGCAACAGCAGTGATCTGGGCACTTGGAGCCTGGCTGGCAGCCAGAGTGTGGCTCTAGCCAGCCAGGCTCCAGTTTTGGGTGGTGCATGCTGCAGCCACATTCACCACCACGCTTTTTTTGCTGCATTTTTTTTTTAGATACCAAGAGTTCTTGGTATCTAATTTTGCCTCCATGCTGCATGCAGCGCAGAGAACCCTTTCTCATGCGTCACGTGTTTTGCAGTGCTTCTAAAGTGTTTGAGGCACCACAAAGTGCACATGCGCACTTGTCTGGATGTGCCCACTGAGTAGAAAAATACTAGCAGCTGGAAGACATGGTAGATACCGGTGGGAGCCTTTGTGCAGACAAGGATTCTGTTATTGGAACTTTTTTTTTTACTACCGTCAATTATACTTGATTTTAGAAATGTGTTAGACATACAGGGTTTTTAAAGAGAATTTCAGTGTAACAGAAGCTGCTCTATTTCCATTTTTATTTGTGGTTTTAGCCATGATAAATACCCAACTGTGAAAGCTGCCACTGAAGCCATGATCCACAGCTTCTGAAGTCTTTCCACAGATTTCAGTGGGCTTTGGGAGAAGTTCTAAATCCTTCACCTGTTGTTCCCACACACACACACTATCTGGAACAAACAGTCTATAAATAGCATTAAGTTCAGTTTTCTGTGTTTTTTTGGAGATAAATCCACTCAGTGCTTTAAAAAAGTTCAAACATGCTTTGTTAGAGCTCTACACTGGCTTTGCAATATTACAGAAGTTCAATATAGCCCTACTTAGTAGCAAGCTGTTTTCCTTGTTTTTACAGATGAGTGGTTAATTCCTGGCTTACTGCACATACATTAAAGCAAACAGTTTGTGCTAGCAAAATTCTATCACACAGTATTTTCTTTAATTAGTGGGATATTAACACTTTGCGCCAAGAAGTTGTTTTATTATATACCCCAGAGGAAATGCTGTAGTGTTGAAATCCAAAGGCATTACAAAAGATATACTCTGTTGGTTAGGAGCTGGCATTCTTTTTGTGTAAATATTGACTCAATATCCCACCAGTATCTTAATAAAATGAACATTTTGTATTTAACTTTGTTACAAAAAATGCCTTGCCACAAAGGACAGGACATGAGGCAACAGATTTAAACTGCAGCAAAACAAACTTGAATTAAATCTCAGGAGAACCTTCTTAACTACAAGAACAGTAGGCCAATGGAACTTACCGCCCAGGAAAGTTGTGGAAGAAGAGGCTGGTTGGGCATCTGTCTGGGATGGGTCAGGAAGAGAAAATCCTGCATCTGTGCAGGGGGGTTGGACTATAAACATTTTCTAATAAAAAGAATGAAAGCTAGCAAAAGCTAGCGTGGCCTTCGGCAGACTCTGTAAGTTGCGCTGAGACCACAGAGGCATTGGAATATAGACAAAACTGAAGATATCCAAAGCCATCATTCTGCTGACCCTCTTTTATGCCTGTGAAACCTGGGCCATCTACCAGCACCACGTCAAGTAACTAAACCACTTCCACCAGCGTTGCCTGTGAAAGATACTAAAAATCAAGTGGCAGGACAAGATTCCAGACACCGAGGTGCTCGAAAGATCAGCTCTCTGCAGTATTCATACTCTACTGAAACTGGCACAGCTAAGATGGGCTGGCCACCTTTCAAGAATGCCTGACACTTGCCTGCTGAAGAAAATCTTCTACAGCCAACTGTGAAATGGAATACGCTCTTGCAGAGCACCGAAGAAGCAGTACAAGGACACCCTAAAGGTGTCCCTAAAGAGTTTTGACATTGACCCGGAGTTGTGGAAGCAAATCGCTTGCAACCTACCGTCCATCCTGGAGGTCATCAATCCAGAATGGAGCACTGCCTTCGAACAGCAACACATGGCAGAAGCGAAGAAGAAACACATGGCCAGGAAAACGAAAACCTCTTGTAGCCAGTCCTCACTGATTTTCTGTCTCTGCCGTAGCAGACCGTTCAAGGCAAAGATTGGGCTCATAAGTCACTTATGTACCCACGTGACCTAGCCTCCACCCCGCTCTGTTCTCTTTCCTCTCTTTTCTCCTTTTGTTCTACTTTTCTCTTTTCTCCCTCCCTGTTTCTTTCCTACTTCTCTTCTCTTCTCTTCTCTTCTCCCCTC